TTATGAATAGTGAAATATCAGTTAAAAGTTAAAAATTTTAACGGGTATATTTTAGTTATGAAAAATTGAAATATTTGGTTTATGACCAAATGACCAGTTAGAAAAAGAGTAGAAATATTGGAAGTAAGAAAAATAGCAAAAGTTCCTGAAATAGGATTTTTCCAAGTTAGTTAAAACGGGAAACTGCTAAAAAAATGAGTACCGCAAGGGTACGCGTTTTGGGCAATTCTGAATCAAAGAATGAAAATTTCAAAAAAAGAAATTGACTAAGGAGATACCCAAGAAAATTTGGTTGGACATGAGAAGTTTGACCCAGGGTGCTCGACAGTCCAGAAAAGCAGTGTAGAACCTGTACTGGTTGTGGAACTATCAGTACCGAAAAGAAACTAGTTCGAGAAACAGAAAGTTTAGTATCGACAAGAGAAATGTGAGGAGCATAGAACCACTCAAGTTACGTGTTAAACTTAAGTAGAATTAGTAAAATTAAATTATGAAAATTAAAATAATTTCTTTAATATAATTTAGAAAGTAAAAAGGAGATATTATTGAAAATATTAATATAATATTTCAGCTGTCCTAAAAAGGACCTACGGGAGACATTAGAGGCCAAATGGGTTTATTTTCCTAAGTGTGGCCGAGATAAGAGGGAAAAGAGAGAAAATCAAGAGAAAATCAAGGAATCGTCCGATTTCACCGAAATTTCTTCCGTTCAGTCCGGTAGAAACGTAACCCGAGACATTCTAGCGGGAAATCTCAACTTTTTGAGGTAAGATTTCGAATTTTTCATGAGAAACTGCTTACTTTTTCGTTTTGATGAATAGTAACTCATCTCGAAAAAAATCCGTAAAACTGAAAAATGAAACCGAGGTTTTGTCAGGGACTAGGATAGGAGTTCAACGTGTAATTATGGAAATGATTGAACAAAAATTTTTGAATTTACACTAAGAAATCCGAAAACCCTAGAAATGGAGAAAATGTGTTTTGTTCAATTTTATGTTGAAATTTGTGTTCAAGAATATGAATCTTGACTCCAGGTACCGAAATCAGAATTAGAACGAGTTATTGAAAACTCGGGAAATGAGAAAAACAAGGCAAAACTTTGCCGAAATTTAGTTTGAGTAATTTGAACTAAAACTAAATTTCAAGAGGAATATGGGATTAAAATGTGAAAGGAAAGATGTTTCGATAATCGGTGATGGTTAGAAAAACTGAACACAATGAGAATTCACAGTTTTGGACCGAAACTGAGAATTAGGCCCATTACTGAGTAACTTGCACAGTTTTAGTGCAAATCCTTGAGATAGGAAATGGTTTGAGGTTGAATACCAAACATAAGGATTGTAGACCTTTCCGAAGTAAATTTCAATGTAATTATTGATCTTAGATTCTAAATCTAACGATCGAAAAATTTATGCAATAGGGCCGATTAACGGTTAAAGTCAGAAAGCGTCAAGGGAGACAAAGAACGCGTTGTTAGCGAAGCTTCGGTAAGTACAATAGTTTTTGTATGGCTATATCACGAACAAGCTTGCTTTTTTTATGTTGCACAAAATTTGTGCATATGGCAGAATTTTGAATGTTAGATACAATATGAACGTTAGATACTATGTTAAATATGTATCTACAAGACTTATGTAATCATAGAACTTTATTCTGTGAAAAGTATGTATCGATGTTAAGTCGAGATCAAACTAAGAGAAAAGAAAAGTTAAACTTTAACAAAAATTCAATCTCACGATAAATTGCTCAAAAATGAACAAATTCATAAGATTTAACCCTAGTTACCGTTTTAATGAGAAAATTGATAAACGGTAAGACACTGAACGTGTTGTTTGTACCAGCCTTCGAAGGAAAGGTTATTATGAGACTATGAAAGATATGAAACCGTGACTGAGTTGGATTGGTTAGCTACCCCACTCCTCACTGGTTATGCGCGCTATGGAACAACAGGACAGGGCCCATAAGACGTAAAAGACAAGAAAATGAAAAATAAAAACCGTTCCATATGAAGTTACGGTATCTGTAAAGAAGAATGAAAAGAATGAGAAACAGAAAATGAAAGTCGTTCAGAACGTGAAAATACGATGTGAAGGACTAAAATGAGAAAGCAGAACAAAGAATGTAATGGAAGAAGAAGAACATAAGCCATACACGTTTTGTAGCACAGAATGTATTATGATATATGACATGAATGCATATATGGGTATGCATAATTATTGCATTTGTTATGACCTATTGATACTTGCTGAGCGAAAGCTCATTAAGTTTGTTTGTGATGTAGGAAGCTCGGGTAAGGCACCAGCTCCCTGAAACTTGTTGTTGGGCATGCAGAGAGGATGCAGCAGTGGAGTGTGGGCAAGTGGGTTGTGGATGCATCACGTGTTTTGGAAACGCTGCCAAACATTATGTGTAAAATAAAATAGTGTTTTATGTATTTTGATGACTAATGTAACAAAATGCCGTCAGAATGCTACAACATTTTAGGTATGACCTAATATAATAGAATGTTGTGAGAATGCTACAGCATTTTGAGAATGACTAATGTACAGAATGCTGTTAGAATGCTACAGCATTTTACGAATAGTTAAAAACAGAAGGCTAGCTAAATGCTCTAAATGCTACGACATTTTGACGTACATGGTAAGAATGAAAAAAATTAGCCTGAATTTTAAGCGGTTATAATTAGTAAGTGTTAGAGGTTAAGTAATGTTAAGTATGAGTATAAGATGACGATCAAAAGTTAGGGTCGTCACGTTGTGAATGTTTAGAAATTATGTTAGGATGTATGACATGAATGCATATATAGGTATGCATTATTGTTTGTACTTGTTATGGACTACTGTTACTTGCTGAGCAAAAGCTCATCCCGTTTGTTCGTGTTGTAGGAAGCTCGGGTAAGGCACCAGCTCCCTGAAACTTGTATGTTGGGCATGCAAAAAAAGATGTAGCAGTGGGATGTGAGCAAGTGGGTAATGGATGCACAACGTGTTTTAAAAACGCTGCTATATGTATAAAGTAAATAGTATTGATGGATATAAGAGTAAGTAAGTTATGTAATGAAAGTAAGGTATACGAGACAATGAGGCTAAGCTTAGCAACCTCAAGTTACAAAATATGATGATATACCCAAAATGCTATCAAGTTAATGGCATGAGAGCGACAGTGGTATGCAAATAGTAAGTTGAATGTATGACCACGCCTAGAAATGGATTTTAAAGTCTTAAAAGAATTTTATCTACAAATTATTGAATGTTAAGAAGTTGAAAATGTTTTCAAAAAAAGTACTTTTAATATTCAAGTTTTACTATGAAATACTAACCGAAGTTTTAACACGGCAAAATATATTAGAATTTATTTCACAATTGAAGAAAAAAAAGTAGCCTAATTTTTAGGAGTCTATGATTTTAAAGTAGTAGGAGTTAAGATATGAATTTAGTATGAATGTAGTAATGATCAGCAGAAGTAAGGGTCATCACAAGTAAATAGCGTAATACTTATAAATTTATATTTATAATGTTATAAAATACCAAAATTGCCCTATTTTTAGAATTCTAGTTAAAAAATAGATTATCTTTCCTTTTTCTTCTTCTTTTTTTCATTTCATCTAAAATGTGCTTTCTCTTTTGCTCCAAAAAACACATCTTCTACCTAAAAAAATGCTATCTCTCTACTATACTCTCTCTCTCTCCTGACGTCCCCCCTCTCTCTCTCCAACGTCGTTCACTTCCCTCCCTGGAACAATCGTCGTTGAGCAACCATTGTACCTTCAGACTGAAGGAAATCCTCCACGTCTCCATCAGGTGTATGGACGGCATCGCAAATTGCTTCACCGGAGAAGACGAGAAGCATCGTGCCGTTGAGCTTCTATCCTCATAGAGAAGTCGCGATTTCCTTCGCGAGTTAAAGATGAGTTACAAATTTATCTGCAACCGTCGTGAACCGTGGTTGTAGAGGATAGATAGAAGAGAGGAAGAAGTTGAGGGGGAGAGAAGGGTAAAGTGGTAAAGTATCAATTAATAATTTTAAAATCTCTTCTCATGGCTTCTCTCCTTTCTCATCGCAGGTGATCTCTCTCCTTCCTTGCCGTTCTCTCTTAATCTTGTCAGCGACACCGAAGAAAAACCGCATGTCATCACAAATAAATCGTCGATCTCATCAAAATTGATGCTCACGTGACGACGAGTCACAACCTTGATCTCGCAACGACCACATTCTCATCGAAGAGAGGCAAAAAGGAGCACGACGGAGAGAGAAAGAGAAAGAGAGAGTGTGGAGAGAGAGACACATGAGAGAGAGGGGAGAGAGAAAGAAGATAAATGCAGGGTAAAAATGGAAACCAACAATTTTAAAATTCAAAATGGCCTATTAATTTCTAATTATTGGTAAATCAGGTATAATTTACTTCCAAAAAGTTTCAAAGGTTGGCCTATTTACTACAATTTTTCAAAATAATATATATATATATATATATATATATATATCCTAGGCATCTGATTTCTTGAGGTCGGGCACTCTCGGTCGACAAATGTACTTCATATTCTGAGAACAGACATCAACTTAAACAAATGCATATAAATGATATATAATTCCATTAAAAACAAAAGAGAAACTGTTTCCACTAGAGTTAATTTGATTGGCGAAAATACTCCGTAACACAAGGAATACCCCAAAACCTAAGTTCTTATAGTACTTAAAATTCCAGATACACTAGAAAGAGAAACGGACGTAATATTTATTTATTATGCGGCTTGGCTACATATTTATGGAACAAGAAATTAACTAAAAAGAAAAGGTAAGTGGCGCGATCAGAGCAACACATTACTCCGGAAAGTGCAGCAATTGCAGATGTATGCAATCTTCATCAACAGAATCTCTCTAGCACCTAGCAGCAAAACACAAAACATGATCAAACACTATTTGTACAAAAAGTGTAACAAGAAGTTATTTGCAAAGATATATATTACCCTTCTTTTCCCAAGGCACCATTTTTTTTTTGCTCGCTAGTTTCTTCTCCTTCCTCTCAAGGGAGCAATCGTTATATGTCGCCGTTGTTTTCCGACCCTTTTCAAAAACCATTGATCAAAGCCTCTACTGAAAAGCACCATGTATCCCACAGATACTCCGATTACAATTCCACATCCATATCCCATCATCACCACCTTCCAATCAAACATTCCATCGCTGTGTTCTTCATCATCACCTTGATCCTCTGGGGCCTCTTCATTGTTGCATGATTTCGACACAGGAAACCCACATAAGCCCGCGTTTCCTACGTATGAATCATTGTTGAATGTATTGAATTGCTTTCCGCTAGGTATTGGTCCCTCCAATTTGTTATGAGAAAGGTTTAGGATTTGGAGTTGGGTCAAGTCTGTCAACTGCAAGGGAATCTGCCCCGCTAGCTCATTTGAAGAGAGGTCTAACCATTCAAGATTAGTTAGATTTCTCAATGATGCTGGGATCGAGCCAATCAGTTTATTATGAGAAAAGTTCAACCCTTTGAGCGACATGAGGTTTCCAATCGACACTGGAATCCTTCCTTCAAAATTGTTTCTTGAGAAATCGATTGTTGTGAAGATGCTTAGGATTTTTACCAGCACAAAGTTAAAATCTTTCATCGTCACCGTCACGGAATCCTGGTAATATGCGTCCCCCATGACTGTCAAGTTCCCATCTGACTGTCAAGTTCCCATCTGAATGGCCTTCCATCATAGCCACGAAACTTTTGAAAAGCAATGCTGGCAAAAGGCCATTGAACTCATTGTATGAGAGGTCCATAATTCTCAACTTTAGGAAGGGAGATTTGACTTTTGGATTTCCTATCGTACCATGAAATCTATTGGATCTCAAGATAAGAACTTGTAGCGTCGGAAGTAGTTCCAACCAATGGGGAAAAGTGTCACTTATCTTGTTATTGCCCACATCTAGAACTTCCAAGCTTCGGCAGTTGCGCAAAGATCGTGGCAGTGGCCCTTCCAGCTGATTTCCATTGAGGTGCACACTCCTCAGCTTAGTTGAGTTTGCAAACATGTCAGGGATTACACCGTAAAACTTATTCAAATTCATCTCTAACACCGAGAGAGAATATTGATTTCCAAGGCAAGAAGGAATGTTCCCATAAAAACTGTTATTTGACAGAGCAAGGATGGTGAGCTCACTCATATTGCAACATAGACAAGGTATCTCTCCCGACAGTTGATTGTTTGAGATGAAAAGGGACCTCAAGGAAGGGGGAAGAATTGGAAGATGCCCTTGAAGCATGTTATTGCGGAGGTCTAAAGTATTTAACCCTTCCCACGGAATTCGGTCTATATCTGTTAGAAAGTTATAAGAAAGATCGAGAAAAGTCAATGAACTCCTTCTCTCACTCCACAACCATGTTGGAATTGTGCCGTGAATTTGGTTGTGAGAGAGTACTAGGTTCATGAGTCCTTTCGAGCCTCGTAGAAAATATGGAAACGCGCGTAGATTGCACGAAGACAGACCCAATACTTTAAGATTCTGGAAGATATTATCGTCGAAATAGCTATCCGAACTCAATGAGAAGCTATTAGAAGAAAGTTGGAGGTACACGAGGTTTTGCAACTTGTTGAACTTGTTAAACTCTAAAATACCACTAAAATTATTAAATGAGAGATCTAGAATAAAGAGGTTCTCTTGTTGAAAGACAGAGCTGGGAATTTGACCGTAAAATTTGTTCACGTTCAACCTAAGAATCCACAATGATTGGGATTGGAATTCCATAACCTGACCACTGAGTTGATTATTTTGTAAGTCTAAATACTGTAAAAACGGAAGGGAACATATCCAATAAGGTATAGACCCGGTTATTGAGTTATAAGACAGATCAAGATGTGTCAAATTCAGTTGAACAGGGATTATGTTTGGGTACTTAGCACTATAAATTTCTGGAAGTTGGCCGGCAAAATTATTGTGAGAGAAGGCTAAAAAAGTGAGATGTGAGAAAAGTGTGAGGTTAGCAAATAGAGGTGGATGTGATCCTATGAAATTGCAATTGGACATATCCAAACTCTGCAAAAAGATGGCACTTCTAGCTAGATACGTAAATTCTATAGAGATGCTGGTGTTGGAAAGAGTCAGGTACCTTACTGCGCTTGCGCTGCTCGAATTATATGTCGGAAAAGAAACAACAAGATTTATGTTGCTCTCTAAATTGAGTGTTTGAAGGTTCGGCAGACGAAAAATGTTTTCTGGAAATTTCCCATGTAACTGACACCCGACTAGCTGAAGATACATCAAAGAAGAAGATACATTCATGAAGGAAGTCATCGGTTCAACTTCAACCATATTGACATCAAGTAGACTGAGTGACAAGAGATTGGTTAGGTTTTGGACCATTCTTTTCAAGACATATGTCTTCAACTTCAACTCGGTAGTTCCCGAAGAGCATAAATCGAGTTGAGCAAGTTTGGACAAGCCAGACAATTCAACAGGAACTTGACCAGAAAAATTGGCATTACATAAGCTAAGAACTGTCAGGTTGGAAAAACCGCCGAATTCGGGTGGGATGGGGGAGCCGGAGAAATCGTTATCATAGAGGTATAAACCTTGCAGATGGCGAAGCAAGAAAATGCTGTTGTTGGAATGAAAAGGGCCATGGAGCAAGCTCGAACCCAAGACAAGGTTAATTACGTGACCGGAAATGCTATCACATATGACACCATCCCATGTGCAACAATCCGTGTCGTTTTTCCAAGAGGCTGTTTTGGAAGGAGGACTAATTCCCCCCATGTTGGAGTAGCCTGCGGAAGTTTTAATCGAAAACGAGTTCTTGAACCGGAGCAAAGCGGAACTCTCAGCAGGATGACATAATGGACGAGGAGAAGGAGAAGGAGAAAACAAGAGAGATGATGATTGAAGACCTTGAGAATGAAATGGTAACAGAAGGAGAAACACCCATGATAACCACCCCATCTTAGCTCTCACAACTAGTAAGGAAACACAAATTGCTACTTAAGTTCTTCTGTGAAGAAACTACAAAATTGGCCTGTATATTTATTCCAATCAATAGTCAGCGCAAGCCTAAATGGCGTAACTCATGTCTCACATTAATGGCGTTTTCTCTTTTCCATCACTACGAAAGTTCCAGGCAATTTCATCTCTTCAATCATCCAGTCAGTATCAAGCCAGTACAAGTCTCTGCCGTGTAGTTGGGAGGAGAAAAAGAGTATCATGTACATATGCGATATCTGTTTCTGGTTATTGCTAGATTCATGTCGTTTTCCACCTCTCTGGTTATTGCCGTGTAGTTGGGAGGAGAAAAAGTATTGAAAACCTTCCGCGTCATGAAATTTTTGACCCATTCTCTGGTTATTGCTAGATTCATGTCGTTTTCCACCTCTTGTAACATCCTATCTGTTTTTTGCTTCAGATACCGTGTTTTTTACTCCACAAATTTAAATAATTTTCATTGTTAATTTCCCAGAACAAGGGAAAAATATTTAAATTGAAAAAGAAAAAAGAGAAAAAAAAAGCACAAAGAAATTTCAAAGGAAAACTGCCGTGTGGCCGAAGGCCGGCAGAAATATGGCCTGAGTTGGCGAGAACTGATTGATCCAATTTTAACTTAATTTATTGATGTTATTGAAGCAATTGGGACTAATTCTCTAGGAAGATATGCAGTATATTGAACCAAATAAAGTTTCAACAGTTAAATTGCAATAAAATCTATATATGAACTCATGATCCAATGCCCTCCTATAATATTGCCTTTTACCAATTAATCATGTGACTCATACGTAAGTAAAACCGTTAAAATATTAGCATCTCATTTAGCTGCCAAAGTTGCAATATATAATAAGCTCACAAAAAGGAGTTTTGTTTTGTTTTATGTGATAGAACACATCCTTTGTTCTCTGTTAAATAAAAAGGATACACTACAAAATTATTTAGAGCATGTTTGGTGTACAGCATTAGAGGTGATTTAAGGACCAAATTGGATAACGGAATTTAGTCCTATGTTTGGCGTCCGTTTTCTAAAAGATTAGACTATTATTTTTAGAGTTTAAAATAATTGTATTGAAATTTATTCTTGCTTATGTAATTAGAAATAAGGTCTATTATTGCCGTTAAGTATATTTAACTTTTTTATAAAACTTTTTGTAAATGTAAACGGTATAAGAATTTTTATGTAAATTATTTGAAGAGATTTATTGTAAAGAATATGGATCTTGACGATTGATGATGCGGAGATTTTTAATATTCTTGGTTTATAAAATTATTTTGTGTTTGAATTGATTGAAAAATTCTTTAGATTTTGAATTTTCGGATTTTAGTGATGATTTTTCGAGGGAGAGATGAGTGGGTGTGGAGTTCTTTTCTTTTTTTTATCCTGCCTATTATTCAATAACTTGAGAAGAGGATTCGCCCATCCCAATCAGAAGCACGGGATTCCGAGTCGAAGACTGTCCCCTCCGATCGAACCCCACAGAGTTTGCCGTCCGACAACAACTTCCGATAAGCTATGGCTATCTTACAGATCCCACGCCAAAATTTCGTCGTTTTGCGAACTTTGTGTTTCTTGTTGTGCTTTTTACTTCCAAAGAATCCTCAACTACTTTGTTTTTTCTTGGATTTTGCTGTTATTGCCGTTTGATTTTTTTTTTTTGGAAAATAGTAAAAAATATGTCAATATGAAAAGCTTAAGAAAGTATATAGGCCAATTTTTAGTTATATAAATTAATAGGTCATAACTTGTCAAGTTATGGTTCATAATCAGATAAGTTATGGACAAACTTGTCAAGTTATGGTTCATAGCCAGACAAGTTATGGACAATTATGGACAATAACTTGTCAAGTTATTGTTCATAATCAGACAAGTTATGAACGAAAATAGTAATTTGACCTATGTATTAATTTATGTAAACTATTAGCCTATTAATTTTAATTCATCTCAAGTCTTTGCCTATTTTTCACTTTCTCCCTTTTTTTTCTTGTTTGATTAAGTTGTGCTTGATTTTATTTGGGGGAAGACGAAGAGCTGTAGTGAGATTGGGATTTAGAGGAAGATTTTACTGTGTTTAACCGGTTAGGTTTATATCCGACTTCTTTTTTATTATTTCCATTTTAGTTTCACAAAAAAGAAATGACTTTTTTACATGCAATTCTTTCCGCTTTTTTTTTTTCACCTCCCGTTCTCTTTTTTCTGAGAAATTTTGATAAAAGAGACGGAAGAAAATTGAAATTGGGGATCTAGACCATTTTTTTTATAACAAAAAACTATTCACGTGTATCTTACATGTTAAAAAATGGATCCTATTTTAATCCATGTGTATATAAATTGTTTAAAAAAATTTTCCCTCTCTCCAAGCCGAACAGACCCTCACCCTCACGGACCGACCCTTTTTCTTTCTTTTCTTTTTTTTTCTTTTTCCTTCCATTCCTTCCCTGTGGCTGCCCAGATCCCTTTTTCTCTCTCTCTATCCTCTGGTTCTCACCGACCACCCCAACGCCGACTGACCTTCCCCAAATGCCGACCAATCCACACGAACACCGACCGACCATCCTGAACGCCGACCGACCCTCCAGAACTCCAACCTGACCCTCTCGAACGCTGACTGACCAACCCCAACGCCGACCGACCATTTCGACCCTAACACCGACCGACCTTCCCCAAATGCCAACCGATCCTCACGAACACCGACCGACCGTCCCGAACGCCGACCGACCCTCCAGAACTCCGACCCGACCCTCTCGAACGCCGACCGACCAACCCCAACGCCGACTGACCATTTCCACCAACCCTCCAGAACTCTTACCCGACCTCCCGAACGCCGACCCGACTAGAACACCCATGGCTCCAGACCACGACTGAAACGGTAACACAAAATAGCTATTTTTCCTCAACTAAGACATCTATTTCCAGAACTTCAATCGACGAGGCAACGGAATCTGCTCTCCCTCATGTAACACTAAGATTTTATTATCTGAATTAACATTAAGGTTTTATTCTTATTTTATTCTTTTTAATTACATTTTTGCAAGAGCAAAACTTAATATAAGAAAAAACAAAGAATATACATTACTGTAGTGTGTGTCACGGTCGGTTCTAGGTCAGTTTTGGTCGGTTCTAAGTCGGTTCAAGCATGCTCATTCTAGGTCGGTTCATGGTCGGTTGTAGGTCAGTTTTATGTCGGTTTAAGGTCCGTTCTTGGAGGGGTCGGTTCTTGGTCTATTCTTGTCATGTTTGGGGTCGGTTCTAGTCGATTTGGTCGGTTTTAGTTGGTAAGGTAGGTTCTAGTTCGTTTCTTGGTCAGTTCGGGTCAGTTTAAGGTCCGTTCTTGGAGGGGTCGGTTCTTGGTCTATTCTTGTCATGTTTGGGGTCGGTTCTAGTCGATTTGGTCAGTTTTAGTTGGTAAGGTAGGTTCTAGTTCGTTTCTTGGTCAGTTCGGGTCGGTTCGGTGGGGTCTTGGTCGGTTAGGTTCTAGGTTAGTTTTGGTTCATTCAGTCAATTTTTGGTCGGTTCTGGGTCGGTTCGATCGTTTTGGTAGGTTCTGTCATCGGTTCTTGGTCGGTTCGGTCGGGTTTGGTCAGATTTTGGTTGGTTTAGTCAGTTCTATTCAGTTTGATCTATTCTAAGTTGTTTGGTCGGTTCTAGGTCATGGACTATCGGTTCTGGATCGATTCTAGGTCGGTTCGGTTGGTTATAGTCGGTTCAAGGTCGGTTCTTGGTCTATTCTGGTCAGTTTTGTCATTTTGGTCGGTTCTGACTAATGTATTTTTTCTTTTTTTTTTCAGGATGACCTCCCGATGTACAACACAGATGAACTTCCTGGGATTGGACAGCTAAGGATGATCATGGATACTATGCAAGAGTACTTCACAGTGAAAGTCACTATAAAGTTAAAGATCGAGGCCCTGGAGGTAATAAGGCATAATTTATACACTGAAACAGAAATGTCAATTTTCAAGGAATCTGCCTTAGGACATTTGATTTCGATGTCTGAAAATATGATTTATTTTAGAGTAATGACACACTATCTGCTTCTGAGGCAGATAGAAACAGAAAAGAAACATGAGTAGTGGTTCATGGTTAATGGAAAGCCAACTCGGTTCGGAATGAGAGAATTTCCTTTTATCACTAGATTGAACTGCAAGGAAATCCCAGAGCCGGACGTGGTGTTGAAAGCTTCGAAGAACATAAGATTGTTGGAGCATTTTAAGGCCCAAGTAGTACTTGTTACTGATTTAAAGAAATTGCTCACAAAGAACAAGATAAATGGTAGCAATAAAGCAAAGATCTCTATCATTTACTATTTTGCACAAGTATTACTATCTGGGGACGAGAAGAAGACCGTCCCACTGGATTGGCTATCGTACGTCGACGATTTAGATTTCTTTAACAGGTATCCATGGGGGGTGTCTTTTGAATGCACTCTGCGGCCTTTGAGGAAGAACCTGAAAGAGAAATTCCATAAATGGGTTTGGAAAGGACATAATAAGAGCATCAAGGAAACCTACTCAATATGCGGGTTTCCTTAGGCCTTCCAGGTATGTTGTACAGTTATATGCATAATTTTTAATCATGGCCTTATAGTAAATAATACATAGTTTTTTGTTTTACTAGTCTTAAAAAAATTTATTTAACGCAGGTTTGGGCATTCAAAACTTTTCCAACCATCAGCGTCACGTTTGCAAAGATGGTTGATCGACGTCTTCCCAGAATCCTCAAATGGGAGGCATGCCGAGTTTCATTGGTCAAGGTTGGACATATAGATGACCTCATGCAAAATGACGAGGTAAGGGTTTGAATACAATGTGTTTATAGGTATTTTTTTACAAAGTAGGCATATTTATTTTTTTTATGATATGTTTCCACCTAAATAATCATTGATTATATGTTCTTTTAATATACAGGGAATGGTCGTACCAATTTTTTATCCCACTATGAAGGAAATGAATAGTATGTGCATGAG